AAGAAATGTCCCCGTGAAACTTGTGAGCAGGGCCTTATCTGAGCAAGGGTCCTCAAAGATATAACTCAGCTATCCAGATGAAACCATCTCAGATTCTCTGAGCGAGCCAAACTCCAATAACAAGAGTTCTTGTAGGAACATAAAAGAGACAGAGGAACAGGAGGCACACAAAGAAAGTGAAGACAGGAAGAAAAAAACAAAACAAAACAAAAACCAGGATCAAGGGCTGGGCCAGATGAAGGATTCTCTGCTGGAGCCCACACCTGGACTTCGGCCCCCTGAGCTGTGGGAGCAGGGATTACGCCAGTAGTTCTCAATCTGTGGTTGGTCAAGACCTCTTGGGGGTGTCGACTGACCCTTTCACAGGGGCAGCATATCAGATATCCTGCATATCAGACATTTACATTATGATTCGTAACAGTAGAAAAATTACAGTTATGAAGTAGCAACAAAATAATTTTTATGATTGGGGGCCATGTCGAGGACTGGTGTTTGTAGGGCTGTAGTCAGGACCAGGAGATCAGCCCTGGGTCCATTCCTGAGTGGGGGGACTGTGGATGAGGGAAAGGCTAGCTAAAAGAGTTGAGAGTTAGAGACATAGAATAGCTGTCAGAAGGGCAACTTCAGTCCATAACTGAATGTGCCTCAGTTTATTCATGTACCATCTTAAGTAACCAACCAAAGGTGGGGACAATGGCAGAAGACTTCTATTATCCTGTATGCAAGGCAAATTGCAATTACTTCCCTTAATCCTAAAGACATTCCATAGCTGCACATACTACTTGGCCTTCAGGGTGAGAGTAAACCTGCCTGGGCCCAAGTCTATTGTTATTTAGATAGGAGCCTCTCACCACTGAGCCTAGAGCATCCTGTAGCCTTTAAGATAATGTCTTAAGAACAATAGGAGGGAGTTAAGGTCTCTGAACTCGTGGCAGGATTTCCATATACAGGGTCCCAACAGGGTCACCACAGCATGAGGAACTGTATTAAAGGGTGGCAGCATTAGGAAGGTTGAGAACCAGTGGATTATGCTGTGACCGCTTGTGGTGACTGATTTGTTAGACCCTGGGAAGCAAATCTAAATGTCGAAGAGTAACATCTGTCTGTGGACACCTTCCCTTATCCGTCTGAAAATAAAAATAATACTGGTAGTCATAAAGTTTGCCTATTTAGGGCTTGAACACCAAGCCAAGGTCAACTCCACCAACACAGGGGTAGGGGGGTTGTAACTGGATTTGACATATGATTCCTGGAAAATGTTAATATAAAGAAGAGAGGGCCCAGCAATAACAATAAGAAGAAGAAGGAGGAGGAGAAAGGAAGGAAGGAAGGAAGGAAGGAAGGAAGGAAGGAAGGAAGGAAGGAAGGAAGGGAGAGAGGGAGGAATGAAGGAAGGAAGGGAGGGAGGAGGGAGAGAGGAGGGAGGGAGGGAGAGAGGGAGGAAGTGAAAGACCCCCCAGTTGCTCAGACCCCAATCACCAGGCAGAGGTGAAAGCTTGATGCAAACAGCAAGAGATTTTATTGCAGTTGTTTAACGAGCTAACCCCATTAGCTCGGGCCTTTCATCCATCCACCATGAGGGATGGCAGAGAAAAGGCCCCAAGAAGCCACAGGACAGAGATTTTATAGGGCATCGTAAGGGGAGTGTCTAGGGGTATGCACTGGCTCAGGATTGGTGTGGAGGGCTTGCCCTGTGTTGACTGGGCGATTGCTATGCTCTGCACATCATTGCTGTGCACTTGTCCGTAAAGCACACCCAGAGAAGTAAAGCATAGCACCACCAGCTAACTTCTGATTGGTTCCTTGCCATGAGACAGGCATCTGACTTCCTAGTGACCAAGGCAAGGTCAGGCAAGCACGTGTTAGGCTGTTATGGCTGCTGAAATGGGGAGTTGATCCCTTCAGAAGGAAGGAAGGGAGGGAGAAAGGAAGGGAGAGAGGGAGGGAGAGGGAGGGAGGGAGAGAGAGGGAGGAAAGGAGGGAGGGAGAGAGGGAGGAAGTAGAGGAAACACCAGAGTCTAAGTGTAGGCCACTAGAAACAGATCCAAATCTTGGTTTTCTTCAGTGACCTTTCAACTTTAAACAATTATTCAGTCTTTGAACTCTAGAATGAGATATACAAACTTTACAGAAAGTTAATACCTATTTAAGCTCAGCTTCTGCGGTCCTCTGCTCTGTATCTCTGCCATCTGCAAGCGTGGCCTTTGCTGACTTACCCTTTTCATGCCTGGAAGTGGATCTCTCAGTCCCAGCCTTATATAACCTTTTAGCTCAAAACCAAATGGCAGCAGTTAGAATCCTTCTGTCATTTATTTCAGTTTCTTGAAATAGGCCATGGCATGTGTTCAAGCTGGTGTGCACATTGTCGGAGGCTAGACATCCCTCTAAGGCTAGAAGGGGGTCTCTTTGAAGGATCTGCATACAAAAGGGCAAGGTGGGCGTCTCCAGCGCCAGGCAGCTTTCCAAGTTTTGCATTTCCATCCACCCACCCTTCCTTTCACTGAGTGCACCTGTTTTCCTGAATTAAGTGTCTCTTGAGATGGTAAACCCACCCTTCTCTTACTGTATCATCTTACTTTCCTCATATATTCTCTAATGTGGCTTGAATTAATTTATTAGAGTGGCATTTTTCCACTTCTCTGAGTAATTAACTATTTGTCCCAACATGACTTTTGAATAGCTCATACATTTCTTGCTGATTTGAATGCTAATTCTGTTGACAACAACAGCATTCTCCGGATGCCTTCTTGGAGTCAGAGTCTGTGCTAAGCATAGTATGTGGCTATTTTAGCTCCATAATGGTATTGTCCACAAACTGTAGCTAAGAAATGCCATGCTTGGGATTTAAACCCAAGTCACCTGTCTCTAAAGCTCATATTTTAATCATATACTATTCCTAGAAATATTTTAGATCTATTTTTTGGCTCAAAAAATTATCAGAAATTATTGACAGAATTGGAGTTCCAATGTAGGGCAGGTTTCACAGCTGACCCAGTTCAAGCTGTTTTCCCATGATCCTCTTGGCTGGGCTTGCCTCCTTGTGTGGTTTCCCACTCAGCTGACAATGAGCTAGCTGCAGCAATTCTAGCCCCAAATAAATGCACAAAGTGCCCATTAGGGAGAAAGAAGATTGCTACTCCCAGAAACTCCCAGGAGGGAAAAGAACTTTGTGAGACACTCAACAAAAATTTCCTTGTCTCATTGGCCCAAACTGGGTCACATGCCCATTCCTGTAGCAGTCCTAGGTAAAGGGATGGAACCACAGTGATGCCGGGTTTCTTCTCCGGCGTGGTCTATCTATAATAAGGTTTGAGTCCAGCTCTCGGGTGTTGAAAATTAAAAACAACAGTGGGGCTAAGCAAATGAGGAGGTAGGTTGGGGCTGTCTGATGGTGGAGTAGAGCTGACGGTGAGGCTGCTCCAGGCCACCTGTCTACCCTGTGATTTGGCAGTGCCATCTTCAACGTGTGCCTTCTACTCATGATTCGGGGGGCTGTGGCTGTCTCAGACACCTAAGAAGAAAGAATGGAAGGCAGAGAGACTCCCTTCTGCCTCTTCTTACCTACCACTGGACAGAGCTTAGCCACTCCGAAAGAACTGGATAACTGTGCCTGGGTAGGGACTGGGGTTCCACTGCTGTGGAAGAGGCAGAGACAGCCTGGGAGAGCAGCAGCAGCAGCACTACTACCAGGCCTATGACACAGTGAGAGAAGCAAACTGTCTGACTGCTGCTAGTCTTCCCTAGTGCTTCCCATGGCCACGTTTTACATCTTGTCAGAAGTCTGCAATTGTAATGATTTTAGGAGGAAAAAATTTGAGTATTCTTTGGAGAAGCATCACAAGATCCTGGGTCTCTGTACTGTATTATTTTCTCTGGATTTCTCCTTGTTCACAGGGGTGCAGGTACCAAGCGGCCGGGTGTATTTCAACCAGGTTAAATGCTCATTTTAACACAACAGTTAACCCTTTTGGGGGGAACAAGACAAAAATCCAGAGACTCTGGGAGGCTTTGCTCACAGTTTCCAGGATACAAGGAAAAGGGGTTACATGTTCCAGAGGAGGGAAGCTTTCTACAGAAATGGACCCTAAACAGGCTCCACTTCCAGAGCTAGCACAGAAGAATTTCATAGTCTTTCTGTCAGTGTTCAGAAGAGTGTACAGCTTCAGTTCACTTCTGCTCTATCCACAGAGCATGTGAAGAGCTTTTCCTACTATGTCTGTGTCCACATATCCCTCGGCAGACTGGAACGAGTCTTGACTGATACGATGGAAGTTCAGATTTTACATACGACTCAAACACGGGTGTTTCATCCCCTTCATGCAGAAAGAAGACAGGCCACTGAGCTTGTCCTCTAGGATCAGAGCTGGATACAACAGCTGTGAGAACACATGGCTGTACTGAAGCCCAGCTCCCTTCCTACCATTGCTTAGTATCTCTCTCTAGTGGAGTCTGTCTTGCAGCTCACCCTGTACACTATTGCTCCCATCTTAGTCACTGCTCTGTTGTGGTGAAGAGAGGTATAACTCTTCTAAAAGAAAGCATTTAATTGGGAGCCTGCTTACAGTTCCAGTTGGTTAGTCCATTATCATCACGGTGGGAGCAGACAGACATGGTGCTGGAGAAGTAGCTGAGAGCTTTATCGTGATCCTAGCAGGGAGCGGGGGAGGGAGGGTGCAGCAGGCCTGGTGTGAGCCTTTGAAACCTGCAACAACTCACTCCAACAAGGCCACACTTCCTAATCCTTTCAAGCATTTCACCAGCTGGGGACTGAGCCTATGGGGGAGGGGGGAGCATTCTCATTCAAACCACATCTCCAAAAACTTAATTTCTATCCCTTCAGAAATGTAATGCCATAGGATAATTTAGGGAATAGTGAGAAACTGAGACTCAGTGGGTAAGGAGACCCCTCAGGGGTTGCCAGCCCCCTCCAAGTCAAAGCCCTGCTCTGTCTGGGGCCAAACTGGATCCTTATTAACAAACATCTTTAATTTGTCCTTTAGGGAAAATGGCCCATCCCCTGGTTGCTCCCTACTCTGCAAGCAAGTTTGCTCTGGACGGGTTCTTCTCTTCCATTAGAAAAGAGCACGCAGTAAACAAGGTCAACGTGTCCATCACTCTCTGTGTTCTTGGCCTCATAAACACAGGTAAGGAGAAGAACCCAGAGTCAATGGCCTTCCGTGGGTCTGTCCCTGGGGTACTACAGACCATAGCTAGAAGCATCAGGCCTGTCGTGTAATGGGGGCACTTCTGTCACTGGTGGGGCCTGGTCAGTTTTGACCCTCCTCCCTGTTCGGAACACCACGCTCAGTATAGTGTATTCTACCCTGAGCTCCTTATGCCCGCACGAATACCCCATGACCTTTGTTATTCAATAAAAGGTACTAAACGCCTTTATGCTTTTCTTACTGGACTCAACAGTAAGGAGATGTTGGTTTCATGAGAGGATGCAGCATCCAACTGAGAGACAGTCCTCAGAAATGATTCATCCTCTTCAAAGAATCAAGGCCATGAAAAACTAAAAGAGAGAAAAAAAAAAAAAAGAACCTTCACAGACTGAGAAAAAAAAGGAGAAATTAGCATTGAGTGTGCTCCTGGACACAATCCCAGAGCATAAAGGGGACACTAGGACACTAGTTTTTTTTTTTTTAAAAAAAAAAAAAAGACAAGAAAAGCCAGTAACATTGTGCTGCGTCTATGGTACTCATTCCTGGTCATTACACGGGGTTGTGCATGACGTGACAGTTCAGGAAAGGTGAGGTGGGGGGCGAGTGGTGTGGGGGACAGAGTAGTGTTCACACATTTATCTAAAACATACATCTAGGACTGTGAGAAATTTTTGTTTAAGGAGTGATTGGTGATCCGGGGCTGTAGCTCAGTTGTTAGAGTACTGGCCTGTTACTCATGTGGCCTGGGTTTGATTCCTGGCACCGCATAAACTATGTATGGTGGAGCACACCTGTAATCCCAGCACTCTGGGGGTAGATACAGGAGGATCACAAGTTCAGAGTCATTCTCAACCATATATTTAGTTCAAGGCCAGCCTGGGCTACATGAGTCCTTGTCAAAAAATAAAAAATAAAAAATAAAAATGCAACTAAGCAGTGATTACAGAACAAAACTGCAAGTCAAATAGCATGGAGATGAAGGGAGGAAAGGCGTGTCTGAAAGACAGGCCATGGAGGAAGACAGCATAATTATGGCTGGCTGCTTCTCTGTGGCAGTGGTCAGTGCTGGGAGGGAGCAAAGCCTGGTTCTGTTCTTCCCGTCTGTAAGCAGTGGATTGAGGTCATCCCACAGTCTCTTTTGCCATGTACATTTTACATCAGCTACTTAGTCCTCACTCTGCACTCCCTGTGTTCATGTGTCACCCCAACCGAAGCACTCAGAGAAGAGTGTTGGACCCCCCCAAGCCATTACCTCCTTTACCCCACAGATCTGAATCCAGGAAGGCAGACCTCTGTCAGTCAGATGTCTTCTTTTGCCCAGCTGCCCAAGGGTCCCCAGAGGGCCAGTGGGGCTCAGACATGGGCGCACAGTACCTCACAGCTAGGGGTCTGGGAATCTCGATCACACAAGCTCTGCTAGCCCGAGATAACTCCAGCCTTTCCTGTGGTCCTACAGAAACAGCCATGAAGGCGACCTCTGGGGTACTCACTTCACAAGCCTCTCCCAAGGAGGAATGCGCCCTGGAGATCATCAAAGGTGCTGCTCTGAGAAAAGATGAGGTGTACTACGACAGCTGGAGCTGGACCCCTATCCTCCTGGGGAACCCAGGCAGGAAGATCATGGAATTTCTTGCAGTAAAGAGCTTAACGTTTGACAAGTTTGTCAGCAGCTAGGAATTCCTGAGGCCTAGTGAGAGGTCTTAGAACAGCTCTGCCTCATATCTCTGTGAGCCCTATCCACAAAAGCCTATTCCCAGAGATGCACAAAATCGTGAGAAAGACCCTCTGACACTTGCACAGTGAAAATGTAATTATCATAGATGTCAGGAACCATTTTGCAGCCTGCAGCTGTGAACTTGGTAGCAAGCATGTAAATGCCAGGGAGTTGTGTCAACTTTCCCTCATACAGAATGATACAATTGTGCCTAATGCAACATTAGATATAATAAAGGTAATGTCATCTTCATAAATGCAAAACTGGTAACTATAAATTGAGCTCACACAACACCTTCCCTTAAAACCGTAATCTAAACAAATGAAAATTTCCCATGTTCATTTCCTGTTATGTGGCCTGGATTCTTTATCCGAGTGAGAGAAATCACACCCTTTGTTTGGCAAGCATCCTGCCTCTACTGCTCTGTGTGTTTTAGACGTTCCTCATGCATCCATATTGCTCATTTGGGCACGAACCACTGAGGTGACTAAGAGAATTGGAGCTCATGGAAAATATGAGTCTCAGGCTTAGCCTGCTCTGTGCTGCTGCTTAACCTAACAGCTCCTAGAGTTTACTGGGCATCTGTGTCCAGCATGGAATGCTTTAGTGACTATCAGAAGTGTGGGGAGGAGGAGCTGTGGTGATATGTTATTTATGATCTAATAAAGCTTGCCTGAGGGTTCAAGATGCAAAGCCAGCCACACTCATTAGCTATAGAAGCTAGTTGGTGGTGGCAGGAATAAGAGGTAGATGGATCTCTGTGAGTTCAAGGCCACGCTGACTACACGAGATTGATTCAGTCCTAAAAGAAACAGCTCACACAAAGGTGATCTCAGCACCTGGGATCACAGGCCTTGAATCCCAGCACTAGAGAGGTATAAGAGATAGGAGCAGGGTCTTCAGTAGTCAGGATGAAGCATTGAGTCTTTAGCCACATTGAGGAGAGCATAGCATTCTGAGTGAATCTGGGGGCAGTGAAGTTGGGAGCAGCTTGAGGCTCGTCCCTTTGGTCTGAGCTGAGGTAGAGGTAAGAGCTAGTAGCCGGCTGCTTTGCTTTTCTGATCTTCAGCTTAAAGCTTGAACCCCAATACCAGTCTCTGGGTCTTTTATTTATCATGTTACAAGGGGCTGTAGCTCAGATCCTGTCATTCATTCCACAAAAATTCACCAAACACTTGCCAAGACAGTGAAGTGTGGAGGTACAAATAACTGAGCAGCATCTGTGGTCAGTTCCAGCTCCTTCCACCCAATCTCGTGCAGGAAATCACAGCTGCTATGAATTCAGAAGCGCCATGGCCATTCTACACCACGGCAGGCCGTCCTCTGGTGTTTAGCATCTTTCTGCCCTCTCTTCATGGATGCTCTCTGAGTACTGGAGTGGGTGACACACAGTCTCTTGTTCTCAGTATTCTGATGCATTTCAAGTCCCTTCACTTACCACTGCCCTCTATGAAAGGAAGCTCTCTAACCAAAGCTGGCAACAGTATGCATCTAAGAGGATAAACATAATTATTTAGAAGGAAATTTGATAGGTGTGTCATAGCCACTTAGCAAAACTGCAGCTGTCACATTCCCAGTCGGACCTGTGACCTCCTCAGTCATGGGCCTTTTACCAAGTCTACAGAACCAGGTGAGAATTCCCACCTGTGGTGTGGGCTCCAAATCCAATCAGAAAGTGACTGCTTGCCCCAATAACAGACTTGCCACTATCACACCAATCAGACCAACCTACGGAACCCCCTGGAGAGATGAGGATTCCCCTTTCTGGTGAGGGGACAGGGCACAGGGAATCCTTCTCTGAAGGATGCTGACAAAACTGCAGAGATAGGATCTGCTTGGAGATAAATGAAAATGACTTTCTTTTAAAAGCAATCTTTAGACATATTTATTTTATGTATACGAGTATTTTGCCTGCACGTATGAGCACTGTGTGCATGTAGTGCCCTCGGGAGCCAGAGGAAGGTATTGGGTCCCCTGAAACCAGAGTAATGGATGATTGTGAGCCATCATGTGTGTGCTGGGAATCAAACCCGGACACTCTGCAAGAGCAACGAGTGCTCTTCAGCCCCCGAAATCTTTCTTAATCTTAAATTTATTTATTGACTTTAGATTTTACTTTTATTTTATGCATATGAGTATTTTGCCTACATGTATGTATGTGCACCACATGCATGCCTGGTGCCTGAAGCGATCACAAGAAGGACTTGGATCCCCCTGGAACTGGAGTTACAGATGGTTGTGAGCCACTGTGGGTGCTGGGAATCGAACTTGGATCCTCTGTGAGAGTAACACATGTTCTTAACCACTGAGCCATCTCCTCAGTCCCTTGTTTTACTTTGTTGTTGTGTTTATTATTTTTTGTAAGTCTGTCAGTCACCCTCGCCCCCACCACCTTTAAAACTGTTACTTAAAAATCTTCTGTGTATGCACCATAGCATGTGTGTGGAGGTCTGAGAACAACTGTTTCAGTCTGTTTGTTTTTGATCTTTTGGAACAGGGTTTCTCTGTGTAGCCCTGGCTGTCCTGGAACTCACTCTGTAGACCAGGCTGTCCTGGACTCAGAGATGTACCTGCCTGTGCTACCCAAGTCATGGGATTAAAGGTGTGGGCCACCACATCCAGGCCTGAGAACAGCCTTTGAGTCTTCCTTTTTGTATTGTGGGTTTGGGGCATTAGGCTAAGGTTGTGATATTGTACAGTAAGCACTTTTACCCACTGAGCCATCCCACTGGCTCCTTTTATTAAGTGCCACTGAAATTATCCACCATGAGGTACAATGTCTTACCAGCTGGGGCCTAACCAGTTGGAGGCTATGTGGATCATGCCTGGTACTGTAAACCTGACCAAAAGCCTATGGCTGGGGAGATCATAGGCCTTAGTTAAAAAACTTCTGGAAGGGGTAACATGTAAGGCAAAGACTCCTCATAACTACTCAGCAATAGGAACAAGTAACTACTAAAGGCTCAGCTTTAAATGGGACGCCTCTGTCACCTCCAAGGCTCAGAGAACACATCGGAAAATGGAGCAGAAAGAATGTAAGAGCCAGAGGATAGGAAAGAGGGCTGTGAAATGCCAGTTTCTGGGTATGACATGGCCGCTGCCCTCACTAACTCTTAGCAGCAGCAGCAGCTGTCTGAACAGGGTCCACACAGGACTGGGTCTATCAACCATTCAGGCAGGGTGGGGATGGGGTCATAGGGGAACCATCAGCCGCTGATGGTCTTAATAATAAAACCCAGAGTCAGATATGCGGGTAGATGCTGAAAGATGAGAGAATAGAGGAGCCAGCCACTACAGAGACCTTTACCTCTACCTCTCGGGTCCAACTGTGACAGCTCCGTCAGTACCAGCCCACAAAAGCCCTTGCCATTAGTCAGGTCCTACCTGAAAGGACCTCTCCTTACCAGAGTGTGAGGATGCTGGTTTGCAGCTCGCACGACACCTGTGGAACTCTTGACATTCATCACTCACCTCTCCCCCACACTGGTGTAAACACCCAACCTCACGTTGTGGGTTCCAAAAGTGATTTGGTTCTCGCTGAAGTCATCAGTGAGAAATGCAGCATCTTTCTAGTATGTCTGCCCCAACTGGCTGCCTGTGAGAGATGTGGGAAGATGTTCCCTGGGTCACAGCGCTCCCTCCTGGTCCCCCCTCTCAGAGTCCAGCCTCCCTCCTCCTCCTCCCTCGTTCATCATACACAGTTACTGCTGATGTATCTTGAAGCCAGCCGCAATATCTTTTAACAGAAATTGTTTCTTTGCACAAAGGCATCACTGTGTTAACTATTAAGAAAGCAACAGTTTCACCAAAGACAACACTTTCTTTGAACAGAAGACCTTTGTGCTCTTGAGTTTGAGAAGGAGCTGAGAGGTTAACGAGCCCTCAGAGTTCTCTTCACAATTCTGGCATTTGAATGAGCCTGCTTCCTTCTCATCGCTCTGTCTCCCAGGATCAGCTGGCTGGCGGGCTGGAAGCATTACTGGGTGTGACACAACACATGACAGAAACAGCCCCAGAACAGAAACTGGGTTCAGTAGCACATGGTTGTAATCCTAGCACTCAGGTTGGGGGAAGAGGATCAGAAGTTCAAGAGTTCAAGGCCAGCTTATGTGAGACCTTGTCCTCCCACTCCCCCCCCCAAAAAAAAGGAGGAAGAGGACAGGGGGGGGAGTGGAAGGAGGAGAGAGAGAAGGAGGGAAATCTAGGAAGGAAGCCCTCAGAGTGGGAAGAGCTGTTCTGACCCACAGCCTCAGAGAGTCACATCCATAGCACTTGACCCTCAATGTCGGGCTGTTGTAAAGCACCAGAGGGAGAGCTGCTGCCCACCCTCTGTGAAAGCACATGCAGAAGAAATGGCTAGGGATAGGAGGTGCCCTTCAAGCCAGGCACATGTCATCTCAACACTTGGGCAGGGCAGGTGAGGTCGAAAGGTCAAGAATCCAAGGTCATGCCTGGCTACATAGCAAGTTCAGACCAGCTTTGGCTACATAGGACCCTGTCTCGTGTACCCACAATGACCTACTTACTCCAACTGGGCCCCACCGTACTCAAGACTCCAACACTTCTCAACAAAAAGCACCAGTAGCTGAGGAATATGTGGTCAGCAAGAGCCTACAGGAACGGTTCATACACGACCCGTAACAAAGCCTGGAAGTATTTCATAATAACCACAGACATGGGGAAATGCCATCAGAGCAGGACACAGTACTTAGAATCCTAACATGTCACAAACCCCAGCTGTCAGCACATGCTGGGGGCCATGCCACGTCTCAGACTGCCTTTGGGAAACTGGCTCCTCTCCTGAGGAGAGAATGTCACCACTGTCGTGACCCAGCATGTCTCAGCCTTAATCCATGAGTGGGGGTGTGTGGACCTAGAAACTCCTAACAACCCAGCGGCGATAAAGACCAAACGTAGGCATCTTGTCATCTTTAGAGAGCTCTCAGTTCCATGTTGTAGAACTAGAGTCATTTCTTTATTAGCCAACTTTTCTGCTGTTTCTTAACCATCCTTTCCTTACCACGAGGGAACCATTTCTCTCTTAGCTCTCCTCTCTCCTCTGGTCCCTTGCCCTAACTCCTGTCCTCCCCAGTTACTCCCACACCTCGCACCTCCGTCCAGGTGCAGGCCTAGTCAGATGCTGAAGTGCAAGGCATTAAACACCAAGGCCACCACCAGCCTCCTGCTGACAGACGGGGGCAGCAGCACCACCCAGTGGCTCCTCGCAGGTGGGCGGCTTCATATCACATGCACACCTATCCTTGTAACAAGGTTCTATTCCACTCTATCACCCTTCAAGCCAGAACCCACAAAGGGGTCATGGTCTGTGAGCCATGACCAGAACTGGAGAGGGGTCCAACACCTTGACCTCCCACTAACTCGCCCTGCCCCACCAGCACCAGCTACCCAGGAGACTGGCCTGGAGCTGTGGGAGCTAGTCCTGTTCAATAGCAACCCCTAGTGGTGCTCTCAGAAAGGCGCGCTGGGCCTGGCAGGGAATGAAAAGGATGGGAGAGGGGGAGTGACAGGTTCCCTGCTGGGAGAGGAGGTTGGCTATCCAAAGCCAACCTTGAGCAAAATGGAACGATGGGTGCCTGTAGGCACAGCCCAGGCTGCCAGCTCTGCTTCTGACTCTCCAAGGACATGGAATTGTGTTCGTCTGTGATGCACGCACCTATATGGGAGGAGGGGCTGGCCTGGGCCATATGAGAACCTGTCTAAGAGAAAAACAGAACTTGGTGAATTGGGTTATGTTAGATGGATTCCAAAAAGTATGTTTTAACTTTTGCTATCATCCTATGAAATAAGAGGCTGTATGCTTATGAATCTTCCAGGTGAATGGTTTAAAATTCTCTCTTTATCTGCTATGGATATACTTACAACAT